TTAAATATATCCACTAGAGACTCATTTCCTTCACAACATGCACCAAATTAACTATAGGTACCATATTCTATGCTTTCTCTAAATCAGTAAAGACCATGTGGAGGTCTTTTTCCTTCGACTTAAACTTCCCAAATCAATTGCCTAAGTCAGAACATAGCCTTCATTGTTGACCTCCCTGGCATAAAACCGAACTGATTTTCTGACACTTTTGTTTCATTTATTCGTTGCTCAATCACTCTCTCCCACAACTTCACAATGTGGCTCATAAGTTTGACCCTTTGATAGGTCTTACAATTCTGTATGGCTCCCTCTGTTCTTGCAAATACATACCGCAATATTTTATCTTCATTCGTCAGGCATTTTCTATGTTCTATTCATAATAGTTCTACCATGGATTTGTCTAGCACTGAGCCATTCTTATAAAGGTGCCACACCTGGCTTGTGCTCTCAGAGCATCTCCTTAGCAAGACTCTCATATTGTAGGAGAATGATGTGGTGATTTGACATCACAGCTTCTTTCAATATAATCTACCCTCGACATATTTTTATCATCAATGAACTTGTATGGGTCACCACGCATTAAGATGATTGAGTTATAAATTACATGAGAAAACTCGCCTTCAAATAGGTTGGCCTTCCATATTGTCTCCTCCCTCATCTTCTTCAATTTCCACTTCCATTGTGGACTTGCAATTGGTTCTCAATGGCCGCAGGGGTTATCACAAATATTTCCTTTGCGTAATTCTCGTTATAGCTTTTACTGAATGTTCTTGTCCTTCTCCACTTCTAATTCCATCACTGGACAAATGATAAGTCCAACATAATGGCCGCGAGGGTAATCATAAAGATTTCCTTGGCATCATCCTCATTATTTATTCTGCTTCATCTTATTCGCTCTTTCCCAAGTTCATTGGCAATGGTACAACCTCAAAGACAAATAGTGGACTACCCATATTCCCCCAGCGTGATATGATAGCCTTAACCCCAAACTTCTCATACCAATAAAGCCAAAAAAGAAAATGGAAAACTTAGAATTTTATTACCCTCATAACAAGACAACATATTTTGTAGTTCTCATCGAAAAGCGGGTAAAACTTGAAAATAGGCAAAAAAGCGTGATGGACAAATCTATTTGGGATAGGTTTTTTTATAGTCACACTAAGCTAGAAAGTTATTTCAGTGAGCTAGCATGTGTGAGTGTTTTTTTATAGTCACACTAAGCTAGAAAGTTATTTCAGTGAGCTAGCATGTGTGAGTACCAAGCAACGATCAAGTAGGAGGGCTCTCCAACAAATAATTGCAGAAGTTTTTTTCACCACGGTGATGCATGAAAAAATTATTTTTATTTTTAGTTCTTATTTAATTTCAAAGGATATATATTTTAATATTAGTTTTAAGGTTTATATTTAATGTTTTTAAGTTTTTAGCGATTCTAGGGTTTTTCTTATATTTTTATTTACTATTCACTGGTTACTGTTCATTTTACTTTTCACATGTAATGGTCATGTATTATTGTTCACATGGTATTTTAGGAATTTTAGTATTATTTAAGGACATTTCAGAGTCTTAAATATTTACTTGGGTCTAAAGTTAATTTTAAGGTTTCATAGGCTTATAAAAGGTTGGATGTCAATTTTTGAGGTGCTTATGTTATTTGGAATGAATGTTAATTTATGAAAGAATAAAGTTTTTCTTCTTGTGGCTTGATTTGCACCCATGCCTTTTCTCTATAATTGCTGAATTTTACTCATTTGAAGATTTCAGAAATAGGTGGATTCAATTTCCTAGCTTTCCTTCCTTGCATCAAGTGGTATCAAAACTCAGGTGAACCCTATCTGGTTAGGGTTTGTGATTTCAACAAACCCATACCCACATATCCACTTCATGATCCCAAAAATGATGAAATTGTGGAACTTAAAAGGCAAGTTCAACAACAGGTACAGCAGTTTGCGAGCATCATTCATGGGCATGAAAGTGACCTTTCCGCCCAAGAAGATGTTGAGTGCCACTTTTTTCATCGTCATGGTTCGTGTGAAGAGTCGAGTGAAGAGGAAAGTGATAGAAGACCTAGAAAGGAACATCACTCTAGGGTTTTTGATTTGAAGGATGACACTTCTTATTTTGATATAGGTTGTAGATTGGGATTTGCCACTAATCTTACATATATACTCATATGACCAACAAGATCACTTAAGAGATTCAATCTATAATAAGGATTAAGATGAAGATGACGATGTTTTGGAAGAGGATCTTGCTCGTTAAGAATACGGAGAGAAGGCAATAGGGGCTGATCAAAATCACGGCCTTTGAAGATCATAAGGATATTGAAGAGGTTGAACATTTAACAGATTTAGGGCATTGGAATCAGAGTAGCACAAAGGAAGCGTGGTCGACTCATAAACCACAAATTGTGGTCCTGGTTTTATAGTGTGATGAAATATATGTCGAGAAAGTCTCTAAAGGCCAAAAAATTGAGTTTCAAGCTTCCTATACAATTGTCAATGCGAGTTCAAGGATAGCCAAATTTGACAAGCTTGTATCAGTTCCTTATTATTATACATACTAGAATTCCTTTCTTGGGGATTTCTTCTTACCACAAATAGTATTTGAGCTAGAAAGAAGAAAGTTGAAGAAGTTAATTTTGATGCTAAATGCATCTTAGCACACTTCAAATCTCAAGGACAAGCGGGGAGAATGATGCAGGACAAATTATTCTTATTTTTAATTTTTATTCAATTTTAAAGGATATATATTATGATTTTAGTTTTAGGGTTATTTTTTGGGTTTTTAAGTTTTTTTAGGATTCTAGGGTTTTTCTTATATTTTTATTTATTTGTCAAGGTTACTATTCATACTTACTATTAACGGCTACTTGCATGTTATTGTTCACAGGTATTGTTCACATGTTGCTGTTGCTGTTCACATGAGCATTTTTTAAATTCTAGTATTGTTTAGGGATATTTTAGAGTCTTAAACGTCTACTTTCACAAATTAATTTTAGGGTTTCATAGGCTTATAAAAGGTTGGATATAAAATTTGGGATGCTTATGTTATTTGAAATGAATTTTATTTTATAAAAGAAGAAAGTTCTTCTCTTGACTTTATTTACAGCCATGCCTTTTCTTGATAATTACTGATTTTTGCTTGTTTGAGGTTCAGTAAAAAGAAATATTCAATTTCCCATCTTTCCTTCTAGCAGCACACGGTTAGATCTTCCACATCATTGGGATAGGAAGACCCGTGGGAACTTGGTAGCCAGTTAACAACAGTGGAACTCCTGTAACAATTCATGGGATGGCCCTCATCCTTTAAGCATTCCATATACGCCAAAGATGCTGTCAACTGCTAGTTGCATGTATGCCAATGGCAGCAATTGACTGTGAAATAGAAAATCTGCAAATTGACTATATGGAATAGAAAAAGCAACCAAGTGGAATGAGTGCCATAAAAAAACAAAAAATTCACACAGGCAGATAGACAAAAGAAGAACATGGACAAGAAAGAGAATGAATCAAACAAAAAAAAAAAAAAATTGAAACTTTACATAAGTAACAGAACACCCAGAGATGGTCAAGTTTCAAGCTTAAAAGCTCTAGCCCAACTAAACTTAGATGAGTTACTTCTTTATACAAGGAGCGCAACTGTTTTATCAATGGACTTTTCACTCTAGTGCAATGTTTGATAATAAGTCCTGCATGAATAATAGGATCCAGTTTATATTATAAGTTGGCACCAACAGTCATCCACTGTAAAAACTCTGTTGACTGTTGACTATTAATTATTCATGATAATGATGGTAATGCGTAATGATCAAGCAGGACAGCACCCAACAAACATAGCAGGAATTTCTTCCACGACTGTAATATTTTTTGCATCATCTTCATATTGTTGGTCCCTAAAGCTTGCGCTCCAGAAAATAAGGGAAATCTAATGGTGGAGGAAGGAACTCCCACAATGATACCTCGCATTAACAAAGTCCATAAATCAAACTCCTTCCATGAAGCATTAGAGTCGTTTATCCATCACCAAAGAACTCCCACAACTATACCTTGCACTGACAAAGCCAATAAAACAATGCCTTCCCATGAAGCTTTAGATTTGTTAAATTAACCCACCCCAAATTTGCTTCTCATGAGACACGCCCAGTGTTCTTTATAGAAATAGAAGCAATAGAATTGACTAATTTAACAAATATACAATTAACTAGTGCCTAAAATTTCACAAACATTCATGAAACTAAGTCCATAAAAGGGGGAATTTTATTTTGGGCCAACAAATAACATTTTGTGAGTGGTCCTCACTAACGCATAGCACTCTAAAACTCCTAAAAAGTATCTGAGAACCTAAAAGATCCACATAACATTTAACTATTTCTGCTTAATATTTTCCTTTTTGGCAGAATCTTCTCCTCATCAAGTTACTAACAGCACCACCAAACCAGTTCAATCATTCCCACGAAAATTATGCCTCAACAGAAAAGGACAAGGAGTAATTAGCATGGGCATTGTTTACATTCCAACTAAAGCAATCATCAAAGTCAATCTTCACATAGATAGCGGGAGGAAGAGCACTAGGATCAAAGTTAATCTTCCAGGAAATTCATTTAGCAGAAATTCATTGGTTGTAAATTGAATATTTTTAATATTGCTTCTTTCCAGTGGTACCTCTTTCTAGTCATGTAATATGTGTCAGAAATTAGTACAACTGAAACTTTGATTTAAAAAGAAAATGTATAGGATTCGTAACTTCATAGTACATTAAAGGAGGTACTTTCGGTACAACCACTATTAGGACAAACATACTTTCTTCATGGATTCAAATAAGCACCTGACAAAATAAAAAGAAAAGAAAGCTAGGCCCTGAGTTTATCTATATGAGTTTTCAAATCCAACACTGCAACAATGCCATGCATGCTATTAATGGTATCAACATAGAAAAAAACTCATTGCAAACCAAAATCATGAGCTTCATTTCAAACTATAAGAATAGCAATAACTTACAGGCACAGGGACCATTTGGTTCAATCTCTTACAAAGTTCGCCATCCAAAGCAAACTCATCCGTTAGTTCTAGGGATCTAGACGAGTCCTCCCCATCACTTGATTTATTTTCAGGACTTGAACTTGAACCGACCGGTTCTGTGTCCTCTTCCTCTTCTTGGCATCCATCTTGATCTACGTCAGCCATAACATCTGAAGAATGAGGTAACATTAATGAGACTAGAGAAATAATTTGATAATGATTCTATCAACAAATTGATCTTACCTGCTCCCATAAATTAGTACCTGAATGGATGTTTCTCGAGGGGCCTAGCCAATCCTGTGCTAGAATAGATGCCTGCAAATGCTCTTGACCTACATGTGAAGAGCCAGATGCTTCCTCAACAGCAAGTTGGGATAACTCTTCTTGAAGAGCATGGGCAATGATCTCATCGTTCTCAACAGTGCTTCTCTCTCCGCTGTTTTGGGCTTCTCTTTCATAGTCTCCCTCATAATCAGTAATGGGGCTTTGGGAAGTATTATAATAGTAGCTGGGATTCGACGATGGATCCCCATCAAGAAGATGAAGACCCCACCGAACAACATCGGGATCATACTCACACGTTATCATCAGTTTGTTTGAATGTACAACCCAAAATCACGTCTGCTCTAGGAGAAACCTCCCTTAGTGACTGGAGTAAAAAGAAAAGAAAATAAACTTTTTTTTCAGAATAAGAAAAGTAGAAACTGAATGTCCTGAATGAACTTTGTTTTCAGAATAAGAAAAGTAGAAACTTAATGTCTTGAATGAAGTCATAGAGGAACTTAATGTCACGCAATTTTTTCATCTTTAAAGGAATCAATCAAGAAATCACGATTTTCTTTTTTTAAAAAAAGAAATACCCATGTTTCTCATCGAAGACTAAAAGATTAGAATATCCCAATTTAATACGCAAAAACAATTAAAGAGTTCTGCAAGGTCATTTTCAACGAATTCCACAGCAAATACAATAGAATTTAATGCACAATTTTAATAGCACATCATAGCCATCTTAGAATCTGCAGTAGCCTTTTAAGCTAAATCTTGCTCACATTGAGGAGATAACAACCATGCAGATAAGTCTGTCAATTAGACTAACCCAAACTGAGAAGTAAGATAACTCAATTGTTGGTGTTGTCTTCTCAATGTGAGCTGAAACCACGAACACCTTTGTCATGTGGGCGTTTTCATCCTACCTCGTGGACTTCATGCTATTGGATGGGGTCAAAGGCATAATTTACATTTTCAACACTGAACAATATGAATCTTTTTTGCTAGAGAAATTGTGAGCCATTGTTGATGTAGGATTTGCGCTTGGTATTGATTGAAAATGGGTGCTGGTGGTTTTATCACTACGTCCCTGGGTCAAATCCTACCATAAAACCAGATCCACCACCCCCTCCACCAAAACCAAAATAAATCATCATCATCCTAGTCTTATCTCAACTATTTGGACTTGGCTACACGAATCTTGCTCTACTATTCTGCTCTATCAAGGGTCAGACCCTCAATCAGACTATAAGTCACCGTATATTTTTTCACTAGTTCCATCTGTATCATTTACGACCTCCCTTTGCCCTTTTAGAGCTTTCCACTTGAACCAAATCACCCCCTCCTAACCGGTGTTGTTCTAAGTCTATGCAACACATGACTAGACCACTTACATCTATTTTCTCTCATTTTATCCCCTAGTGTAGCTTACCCCAAAGTTTCCTTGAATGTATTCATTCCGAATTCTATACTTCTCTTGCCACTCATACATCTCAGCATCCTCATCTTAGCTACACTCATTCTATAGATATATTGTTTCTTAACCACCCAAAACTTCCTCTTCAGTTTCATTGGTATGTAATGATTACATCAAACTCTAGAAGTACATCTCCACTTCGTTCACCCCATTCTAATTCTAGCAACATCTTTATATATCTCTCCTTTCTTATGGATTATGGACCCAAGATATAAAAAATAATTCTTTTTAGGTATTTCTTAGCCATCAATTTTAACAGATTCCTCGTTTCTATTTCTATTATTACTAAATTTACGTTTTATATATTTTGTCTTAATCTAACTAACTTTATAACTTTAGATTCTAAAGCATCCTTCAAAGTTCTATGCGTTTACAATGTCTCTAGTCTCATCAGTCAAACTATGTCATCCGCAAACAACATGCACCGCGGGACCTCATCCTGTAGTTGTCTAGTTAACTCGTTCATATCCACAGCAAAGAGATATGGGCTCAACACTGACCTCTGATGTAGGCCTACAGTCATTAAAAACTCACTTGCCTCTCCAATAGTTGTCTTGACATTAGTTAGCACTCCCTCGTACATATCTTTCACCATGTTAATATGCCCTCTTGAGACTCTTTTCTTTTCCAACAACCACTATATTATCTCTCTAAGTATCGTATGTTGTGCTTTCTCTAAATCAATAACAACGATGTGGAGGTCTTTTCTCTTATCCCTGAACTTCTCAAACAATGGTAGACCTTCTTGGCATAGACCCGAATTGATTTTCTGATACACTTGTTTCATGTCTTAATGTTATTCAATCTCTCCCCCACAGTTTCATAGTGTGGCTCATAATTTTGATCGCTCTATAATCCGTACCACTTTACATGTCCCCTTAAATAGGTAACACTGTACTTTTCCTCCATTCATCTGACATTTTCTTTGTTCTCAAAATCTTGTTGAACAACTTGGTCAACTAGAATATGCTAATTACTCCCATATACTTCCAAACTACTATTAGTATACCATCTGGCCCCAAGCCTTTCTATCTTCATCTTTATCTAAGGTTCTTTAACTTCAGATATCTTAATCTTATGAAATTATCTATGACCTCCAACCTCATTTATGTCAATGGTTCCTCCTAATGCTGAACTCCCGGAGTGGTCGTCATTTAACAAATTCTGAAAATAAATTCTCCACCTTTTATTGACCTCGACATCCTTCACCAACAGCCTCTGATGCTCACTCTTAATATATTTGCCATGATTTAACTCCCTACACTTCCTCTATCTCATTTTTTACTTGTTTGAAGACATCTTTTTCACCTTCTCTTCCCCAATTTATTGTATGGATCACTATATACCTTAAGCTTGGCCTTACTATTTTCTTAATGTTTCTCTTGGCATGTCTATATTCTTCTAAATTCTGATCATTTTTATTCTCTTGCCAAGCTTTGTAACATTATCGTTTTTCACTAATAGCCTTTTGAACCCCATCATTCCACCACCAAATTTCCTTATTTGAAAGTTTTCCCTCTAGATTTTCCTAAGACTTCTTTTGCCACTTTCTTAATCTAATCAGCCATCTCATTCCACGTAACATTAAATTCATCCCTAGAATTCTATTTTCTTTCTTTCATCAATTTATTCCTAAATAAATCTATTTTCTCCCTTTTTATGTTCCACCACCTAGTTCTTGGTCACCTATTAATGTCACTCCTCTTCCATCTCTTAATGTAAACATCCATAACCATGAGCATAAGTTGCGTGGTCAAACTCTCTCCTAGGATAACCTTACAATCTTTACATGATGATCATTTTGTCTTCTTAGCTAGAAAAAAAAGTCAATCTGGCTTTTGTATGATCCACTTTTTTATTTGTAAGTTATTAAATGTTCATCTTGCTTTTTAAAATAGGTGTTTGCTGTTGTTAGATTGTAAGCAACAGCAAAATCAAGAACAACATCACCCATCTCATTTCTTTTCCCAAATCCATATTGCCATGACCATTCAAGTCCCCTTGTAATAATGTCCTCGCTCCATTTGGTATTTATTCTTTGCACTAGTCCATCCAAGTCCTCCCAGAATTGTCTTTCAATTCAATCCTCTAATGCTACATATGGTGAATAAGTACTAATTACATGAATTATCTCTTCTCCTAATACAAGTTTGATTAATAAGAACCTAGCGCCTACTCTATTAACATCTGCTATTTTATCCTTCAAATCTTTGTTTACCATTATACCTACACCATTTATATCATTATCCATTTATATATACCAAATTTTATATTCATCAATTTCCTTAGCTTTTGTCCCTTTCCACTTAGTTTCCAATAAACAAGCCATATTAACTCTCCTTCGTCTCATTTTATCCATGGCATACCCTTATTAGATAGAGTTCATATATTTCATGTGATTAGACGAATCTTATTCTCTTGGACTAGCTTCTTTACCCGCACTCATCCAAAATGGCACGGGAACCCTTGCCTACTTATCACCACAACCGAGTATCGTCGTAACGCGTTGCTTCTAAGGAATGCCCTAGCTAAACCCTTGCTCATTTCTCACAGCACCAGGGTGCAAGTATAGTGCATTGCTTGCAGGGAACGCCCTAGTATGAGCATATAACGTTGGATCAAGATTCATGATAAGGATGTGACAAATTTTTTCCACTGGCTACCAAAGAGGAGTTGTGGGCAAGTAGGGCTAGGAGTGTATAATCTTAAAAGATGGAGTGAGGAACTGGAAACTGTAAAGGGACACCCACAATCGAGCAACCTCTTTTCAGGACACCCCAATCTGGATCAAACAAACATATCTTCAAGTTTTTTCCTTAATAAGAAAAAAGGGTTCAATTTACTTGATTTCTAGAGAGAGAAGAGAGAGACACACACACATATCAAACTGGAGCAAACCTCTCTTCATGTTGTTTTTCCTTAATGAGGAAAAGGATTCAGTTTCCTTAATTTCTATACAGAGGGAGAGGAGAGATAGAGAGCATATGTGCATTTTTTGAAGTAGAATATATGAAACTAAAAAAGTGGCATTATGCAAGTTTTGAAGAACTTGGGTGGCGTACTTGAAAAATCCAAACTATGGGATCGTGTGGACTTTTGTGCTCCTATGTAGGGATATGTGAGGATTTTACGGATATCCGTCTAGTCTTTCTAGATCCTGCTCTAAATACTTCTGGATTTAGCTCCATTTTGAAAAAAAACGACGTCCTTGAGTGCTATAATCGAAGTTGCCCTTGTATTGGTAAGGATTGTGTGGATTTCTGTGTTCCAAGGAGTGGAGATCGCAGTTCTTAATTTTCGGGATCTCCTTTTGATCATTTTGGATTTTGCTCAAAATACTTCAGGATCATCCTCCATCTTGAAGACAATGGTGTCCTTGAGTGCCATAATCGGAGATCCTATTGTAACAAAAATGGGATTCAAATCATTCAGAGTCCAGCTCCATTTTGAAAAAATTGAGGTCCTTAAGTGCCAAAACTAGAGTTCTCATTGTGTTGGAATCATGAGAGAAGGGGGGGCGGGGGTGAGAGAGAGATCTATAGGTTCAACAGTCATGATTCATGACAGCCCTCTATAATTTGAAATTGCCATGATAAAATCATTTGAGCAGTTATCCATTTTGATTTAGAGGCAGCATGGATTCAATCACTAATACATGGGAAAAGGTGGTTGTTTGTCACACTAGGAATAGAGATCTAGAAAGGATCCGAAAATCCTTATTGTGGTACAGTAGACTCAAATCAAAAGAAGTTCAAAGTGTTGATCAAAATGAAAGATAAAAGTGTTCAACTACCTAGTTGTACAGTTAAACATACCTAGTTCCTTAATCTCACCCAAAGAAACCAAAATGTTTACACAATACAATTCTGATTCAAAAGAAGATAGCATGGATCACAGACTTCAGGAAACCAACTCGGTAAAGAGACGATCAGTATTGTAGCTCTCTAATCAGAATAAAAAAATCCAGGACAAGCTTGCACCACCTGGCAGACGGTACTGGGATCACTAATTTTGCGAAGGCCTCAGGAAGTGCATGACATACTTCTCAATCACATAAAAAAAACATGCCATCAAGAAATCATAAATATATTTCTGAAACATTCATACAATCAATACACTAAGCATCATAATGAAGAGAGAGAGAGAGAGAGAGAGAGAGAAAAGAACACAATAATACACAAATGTGTGAGAAATGCACAAGGTTGAATATCAACTAATCAGACTTTGGTTCTATTACATGTTTGATGATACTACCCATCAATTCATCTTTTCATCTCTGACTAAGAATTACTCGTCTGTTTTTTTTATCAAAAATAAAAATTTTTAAAAAAAAGTAAAGAAAACCGAATACAACCACAAATACCAGAACCCATTAAATCAATGTTAACAGAAAATAGAAGATCATGGCAATCACAGAACATACCTCTCCTATCGAAAAGTTTTACCAAATGACAACTAGTAGAGAAACGCTAAAGGAAAAGCAATAAAGCCCATGAAAACCTTAATTCAAACAAAAAACGCATCCATTTTCAGTTCTCACACACACCTGAAAATCCAATACAATTAAAATTCCACATAAAAATTTCAATAAACCAACAACAATACATTGAATCCAAACCAACCCAACAACATAATAACATCAAACACGTAACATACAAATATGATCACTACACACTTCGCCCCACAATTCTAAAGACAAATAACGAAAAAAAGCAATCCATATTTTCCATTTCTCTACCATAAAAATAAAAATAAAAAATCATTCCAAATAACTTAAATCAATCAAAAGAAGGAGATTAACTCATCGTTTGAGAATCAGATGATTGCACTAATGGGTTGCTTCATAATGAAGGAAAATATAGAGAAATAAATCACCAAAAATTTTGAAAAAAATTCAGAGGCGAAAAAAGCAGAGAAAAGATAACGAAACAAGAGATCAAAAGCAACACGGCACCAAAAGAAAGCATCAAATTTATACAGCACTTCCAGAGGCGTTAACTTCCTTGCAGTTTTGGAGGCATCAACAGTTGGCAGAGCCTTGGTCCTTTATCTGGAGAGCTTGCAACCGTTCGATCTGACAGGAAGATGCGAGGGTTATAAGCCGGAGTTCCATGAACGGAAGTCCCTCTTTTTGGGTATCAAAACTTTGAACCTCTGTTTTAGCCCGTTAGATGGGCAAAGAAAGCGGCGCCAATCAACGGTAGAGATTCCGATTTTTAGCGGTACGGGTTGATCTTACGGTTGATATTCATATATGGATATCGGCTCGGCTTAATCTACTTAATAAGCGGCTTATTCGGCTTAACCGGCGCTTGATTTCTTTAGACTTGCGAGAGGGGAAAGAAATGACTGCAAAGTCCTTCTCCATTTCCATTATGGCATAATCATCCCAAATTTAAGCCTAAATTTAGGATTCCACGAAAAATATTAAATAGCAATTTAAGAATGTTTTTAGAACGATGAGAGAGAAATTTTTTTATGCTGACGTCTAAGGAGTCAATTCCGACCAATAGGAAAAGGAAAATTGTTTCATGGGGCGGGGTCCGCATTTTTACATTTGTGGTCCCCGAAATATAAAACATCTATTTTTATGATTAAAAAACAGAAGATAAAAAAAAAAAAAAAGTAAAAAACACCAAAATGCAATATATCATCACTTAAAACAATTCATATACCACAAAAAGAAAACTAGCCGAAAAAATCAAAGCTATTAATTCAGTAAGGCAATATTCAATTAATCTTAAGCCCATAGAACTACATAAATAATTAAAAAATAAAAGATAAACAATAAAAAAAAAGGAAAATCTTAAGAAACACCAAAATGCAATATCAAGGTACCACATCACTCAAAGCAATTCATATAGCACAAAAAGGAAACTAGCCAAATAAATCAAAACTATCACTGATTTAGCAATGCAATATTTAGCTAATCTTAAGTCCATAGAACTACACAAATGATTAAAAAACCGAAGATAAAAAAAAAAAATTAATCTTAAAGAGTGTTGGGTTTGGTTACAGTCAAATCACTACCCATATTTTCTTCTAAAGATTAAGGGTATTATGGTAAAAAAAAAATACATTTTATTGGGAAGTAAGAAAGTGATATCCATATAAGAAACTCAATGAAAACATCATACCCATCCTTTTGAGGGACACCCCTTTGGAGGTTATAGGAATGGATCTTTAATATGGAAATAGTCTTCAAGAGAAAGACGTTCCTTATAAGAGAGGGGCGGTATTCCCATGAGTTTTGGATTGGTTAACTTCCACTTCTAGACAGCGAAAATATCTATGTTGTTCTCGAAGTTATATTTCCAGTAGCAGTATTGCGGTGGGAGAGAGAGACATGCCCTCTAAGAGAGGGATGGTATTCCCATGAGTTTTGGATTGATTAACTTCCACTTCTAGATAAATAAAATCTCTATGTTGCTCTCGAGGTTATCTTTCCAGTAGCGGCATTGCGGTGGGAACGAGGATGTTGATCAATGGTGTTGCGGTCGGGAGAGCGAGTTTAGAAGAGAAGATTGGTGATGGTTTTTTTACCAATGTTTAGATATAAGCAATATCTCTTGTAACCCAAAACTGTAATCTTCATTGTGATAGTGGATTTCTAGTTGCCGAGGCCGTAGATGTAGCCCTACGGGGTAAACCACATAAATCATGTATTGTTTGTGGTGTGTTTTTTATGTTTGCTTTATTTCTTGCACTTGATTTATAGTTGTATTCGTCTATTTCGCATTTAGCCAAATAAATATACGATCTTGGGTGGAATCCCAGTATTTGGGATTCTCGATTCTGCAACCTAAATGGTTTTCGAGATCCCTACAAAGAAAACTACATAACAAATATAAACATGCACAATAAAATTGGTAACAAGAGAGAGATAGAAGAAGAAAGAGAAATGGAGTATAAGGCATTAACAAGAGAAGCCGCTACTGATTACCCTAAGCCCAAATTGAAAAACATAACCTCTCTTCACTCCATTAGAATAGAGCGACGAATTACTGAGCACACAGATAATCCAACACAACATTGGGCTCTTCGATGAGGAAGACATCACAGATCATCAAACAAGAAATCTCCAAGAAAGGATGTCATAAAGATACTTATAAAGCTAGAATAACGGGAAATCCCCAAAAAAATCTTCATGAAAATGTTACAAATCTCATGATTCCTCCAAAACCAACCCAAAATCACATAAATTGGCAAAAACACATCCATTAATAAATATATCTGAAAAATCAGGAGCAAAAATACAGAGATTGAAGAACCAACAAAAGCCTAGCAAGATAAATAGGTTTACAGAAAAAAAATAAAATAAAATATTGGAGCTCTAATGTTAATGGCGGATGGGAGTAACTCTTGAAAAAACCCAGGAGAAATGGAGCTCGACCTAGTGATGATTCCACCAACAATAGATTTTTCAAGCTCTTGGTAAAAATTTGTGTGAGAGGCGGCAGAGAGAGGGCTCTCTGGGTACTGCTTCTCAATGGTGGAGGAGGGCTCTACAAATAAAGAGAGATGAGGAATAAAATATAGTAAAAAATGAGCAAAGGGCGGCGTGGTATCGAGTAACACAAGAACTAACACAAACTCAAATAAAAGTGAGGTTTTGTAAAACTAGTTTTGAGGTATACAAGTTCCCAAATGACCCATAACGATTGGAGTAAATAGTTTGTCTTTCTAAAACTAATTGAAACTAAAGATTCAATTTTTTTAATATAATTATTTTTCTAATTTTTAAAATTTATTTATTTTTCATATTCATGATCTCCATGTTAGAGATTACGTGTCTTTAAAATTAAGTTAAAAACCCATATCAAAAATAGATTTTTAAGAGGTGGCTCATTTCTACAGGGATTCATACAAACTGCATCCATACCAATATCATGAAGGTATTATTTATTGAGAACTAATTTTATTGAGAATGTTAACCACTACTTACTCAATTTAGGATTAGATGATCATTAGCTATTTTGAGTTCAACTATTTCAAGTATTTCATTGTGTGTGGATTATTTTGTATATGAGAAGTTTCCTTCAATAATAAATGCTATTTACATGAGTAGGAATAAAGTAACATATAGAAGAGGGGAAAGTATACGAGAACATCATTTATTTTTCGAACAAGGATATCATAATCACCCTTAGTCATTGGATGCAAAAATTGGGTGGTTGAGAGTGTGTTCTTTACTGGCCTCAGAGTTCCAAAATATTTTTTATTTTTATTTTTTAAATCTTGTGATGCACCCCAAGCCATTGAATTTATCATAAAATGGCTACAAGTTTGTGACCCTTTTGTACCAAATATAAATATTTTTATAATATATCATCCCGAATAGAATATAGATAGATAAAATTCAACGAAAAAATATATTGGAAAAATATTGGATAAGTGACTCACAAAACATAGGCTTATAATTCAGTTGGCATTACCATTCACTATGTTATCATTTTGGGAATATAAATTTGGGGTTGGTTTGCGTAAAGGTTGCAACCTTAAAAAATCGAAGTAAAGTGCACTTCCAAATTTTATCATAAGATGTAATTTTAATATAAAAAATTCTCAAAAGTTCTAAGAATCTATTTTCATCTATAATTATAAAATTTTAAGCTCTAAAAATTGTTTAAATTAAATAGATCGATAAACACATCATCTATAATTATAAAATTTTAAGCTCTAAAAATTGTTTAAATTAAATAGATCGATAAACACATGAAAATCTTGAAAATCCATGGTTAGGATATTATGTTGCAAGATGCAATATTTTTGGGACTGGAAATCTCTTCTTCTTTTTTTTATAAATTTCCAAATTCAGTTGATCAATTAGAGGGTCTTCCAACACCAAAAGAGCCTTTTTAATAAATTTTTAAGGTGCACATTAATTCTACAGTTTAAGGGTGCAACCTTATATAAATTTTTTTTCTATGTTCATAACCCTTGAGAAATGGATATAAAGATAATTAAATTTTGGCTGGAGAGAGAAGAACTGATTTAAAAAAAAAAAGAGGAAAAAAATTAAGATAAAATAAATCTGCAGGTTGGGGGGTGGAGGACCAAAAAGTTTTAAAAAAAATTAGAGATGAAAGCCGTTGAGAGTGAACTAGAACTAGATGAGGCATTGTGGAGATAGATGTGGGGGAAATGGACCTAATAATATATAATAAGACAATTTATCTTTTTGGTAAATTTTTTTATTATAATATGTTTACAATAACATTAATAAATATAGAGTAATGATCTTATGAGACCTTTCCATACCCATGTGTGTAAGACTCCAAATGATCACCATTAAATTTGACACAAATATCTAAAAAAGTTATCACAAGAGTGTGAGACTTGACTTTTTTAGAGATCTGTACTAAATTTAACGGTGATCCTTTAGAATCCTATACACATAGGTGTGAGAGGGTCTCATAAGGTCATTTCCCATAAATATAATGCTATAGATTTAGCGTATTTTGGTCAATTTGTTTTTTTATAAATTATTTTTTGTAATTTTTAGGAATCGTGATTAAGAGGCATGGAAGTCTTCAACTCAAACCAATTTATAAAAAAAAATTGCAAATTATTTTTCATATTTTTTTAGGTTTACAAGATTGAGAAGTGTGAAACCCTATCCTAAACCAATTTGTAAAAAAAAGCAAATTAAGATGTGTCCTTTCTATTATATTTTTTATATTATTAGTGGTTAATAGAAAGAGAAGGACATTCGTAATATTGTTGAATTTCTTAATATAGATATAAAAGAAATGAATTTATAGAAAAAATGAAAACAAAATATGTGCATAGAGATTTATATTTAGGGATAAAGCTGGGTATATTACCTTGTTTCCATTCTTCCGTCAGAAAGAGAAAACCATAATTCACTCTTAGAAAAAAAAATTAAGGATTCGGTTTCTATGCGGTCAAGCCTATATATGTAGAAATGCAAATCTCTTAATAAATC